AGCTATGGAAGCAACCTAAGTGTCCATTAATAGTCGAATGGATAAAGAAGAGGTGTTATATATGTATTATGACTAAGCCATAAAAAAATGAAATCTTGCCATCTACAACAAGGATGGACCTAGAAGGCTGAGTGAAATGTCAAAGAAAGACAAATGTCATATGATTTCACTTATATGTGGAATTTACAAAACAAAATAAACAAACAAGCACAACAGAAACAAACTCATAGATACAGAGAACACCTTGACAGTTGTCAGATAGGGGTGACTGGGGATGAAAAAGGTGAGGAGATTAAGAAGTACAGATTAGCTCAGTTGGTTAGAGCACTATCCCGATATGCCAAGGTTGCAGGTTTGATCCCTGATCAGGGTGTTACTGGACAGGGGACCTGGCCCCGAATAGGTCTGCCTAGGACTGGCCAATAATGTATGAGTTCTTCACTTTGTGAAGGAAAAATTTTATAACACGAGTCCAGGTAATTATGAGGGTATGTTTATTAAACAGTAAAAACAAGGAAGGGCTAAGGATAGAAGAAGCAATAGGAGAGCCAGGCTGGCTGCTTGGGCTCACTGGGAAGTCAGAGGAAAAGGGCCTTGGAAACAGGTTCAGGGAGTTAGCCCAGGATGAGCTGCTGCCACCACTGCTCCCCTAATTGCAAGTCTCATCGGGACCCTTATAGTTTACAGTGGTTGTCAACCTTGGCTGCACATTAGAATCACCTGGGAATCTTTTTAAAATCCTGATTTCTGGGCCTCATCCTCCAGAAATTCTGTTTCTTTGTTATGGGGTGGGGCCACATTAGGATCATCGCAGCTGGTCCTGGTGTTGTCCATCTGATTTTGCTGCTTTTCTGGGCCTGGAGCTGAAATACAGCTGAGGCCTAGATGTTATCCCTAGGGAGGTGATCTGTATCTAGCTGAAAACTGGTTGGCCGGTTTGTTCAGTGACCAGTCTCAGTTTCCCCATTCTACTTGCCAAGGAATTTCTCTAGCTTCTTAGCATCCTGCTTCAAGGGCACATATAAAAATCAATTAACCAATGAATGCATCAATAGGTAGAACAACACATAGAGGTTTCCCTCTCTTTCTCCTTTCCTCTCCATCTAAAATCAGTAAATAAGCAGTTTTTTTAAAGAAGTGCAGATTAGTAGTTACAGAATAATCATGGGGATGTAAAGTACAGCATAGGGAATGTAGTCAACAATATTGTAATAGCTATGTATGGTGCCAGGTGGGTACTAGGGTTATCAGGGTGATCACTTAGTAAGTTATATAAATACTAGAGGCTCGGTGCACGAAATTCGTGCATGGGGGGGGGGTGCCTCAGCCCAGCCTGTACCCTCTCCAATCCAGGACTCCTAAACCATCAGCCTGCCTGCCTAGTTGCCACTAACTGCCCCTCATGCCAGCCTGATCACCCCTCACTGCCTATGTGTGCTGGCCTGATCACCCCTAACTGCCCCCCGCTGCCAGCCAGGTCACCCCCAACTGCCCTCTCCCTGCCAGCCTGGTCACCCTTTACTGCCCCCCCCACCGGCCTGGTTGCCCCCAACTGCCCCCCATTGCCGGCCTGGCCGCCACTCACGGCCCCCCTGCCAGCCTGGTCGCCCCCTGCAGCCTGCTTGTTCAGTCATTTGGTCGTCCTCACTAACTCCCTGCCAGCCTAGTCATAGGCAGCCATCTTGTGAGGGTGTGAGGGTTAATTTGCATATTACCTCTTTATTATATAGGATCTAATCACTGTATTGTACATCTGAAACTAATAAATATAATGTTGTACATCAACTGTAATTAAAAAAATCAAAAAAAATATTTTTAAAAATAAAAGAACTGGTGTGTCCCAACAGTGCCCAGGGCTGGCCCCAGTGCACACAATGCACCTCAGTGATCAGAACAGAGAAGAGCAAGAGGACAGGACGGCCCACCTCCCCTCCCACCCACGTCTCCAAAAGAAGCCAGGTTTTCTCCTGTCACTGTGTCCCCCTCACACTACTTTCACATTACAGTGCCAGTAATACCTCTTCCAGGAAGCCCTCCCCCTGCCACCCCACCATCCAGGACCTCTGTGCTCTCCTCCAGGACAGCCCAGGCAAAAGCATTTCAGAACCTACGTAACACGTTCATTAAGCACTGTATGCTTGCCAAGCCATACCTGGGGCTTTCCATACATCCTTCAGACTTCATGCCAACCCTATTAGGTGGGCACTACCACCAGGTCCCTTTAACAGACTGAGAATCTGAGACTTGGAGAGAAAATCCTCACTCTCCAGGGTCATGAGACTCAGGCCAGGCAGGCACACTAGTGCCCCCTGTGCTTCCCACATATCTGGCCGGGCCTTCACCTACTGCCCTCTTCCCACATTTCAGGCCATTCCTGGGGACTAAATGATAGCAGAGCCGGTAGGGCTGTTTCCAATTCACAGACGAGAAAAATGAGAACTTACAAGGAAGGTGGCCTAAAGTGCAGGGTCTATCTGAAGGCAAAGGCCGCCTATGCCTAAAAGCAGCCATCACACTCCCTAGGCACATGGCTTCCCACCCGCTTTGTCAGGCAGAGACTCCCAGAGTCCCCTGGCCCCAGCCGGGCGCAGGCATGCAGCACCACTTCCTCACCAGCACTGTGACTTGGGCGGGCGAGGTCACTCTGGCCTACAATACAGCCCCTGCACAAAAAGCCAGGCTCCCCACCCTCAAGGAAGGAAATAACCTTTCCTCAATTAGTACTTTCATTGCAGCAATCTCCATATATGAGAAGACAGAGGCATTTTTGCAATGTTTCCAAATCGCAATAACTGTGAGGACAATGGTGTACAATGATGCATGGCTTGACCTGACAGGGGTGCTGGGAGGGGACCAGACTGGAGAAGTTGAGTCAGTGGTGTGTACGTGCCAGTGGTACTCTGTAATCAAGGGGTGGCCTGCCTGGGGCAGGACCTAGAGATGGACAGACCTGGCTCCCATTCCAGTTCTTCTTCCTCCCACTTCACCTCCCACCCACATCTCCAAAAGAAGCCAGGTTTTCTCCTGTCACTGTGTCTCCCTCACACTACTTTCACATTACAGTGCCAGTAATACCTCTTCCAGAAAGTCCCCCTCCGCCCACCCACCCCCCACCCCCCGCTGACCACTCCCGGTTCAGCTGAATGCTCCCCCGTCCCCAACCCCCCCATCCAGGACCTCTGTGCTCTCCCCAGGACAGCCCTGACAAAAGCATTTCAGAGCCACATGTGTGAGTCCCTGCAGCCTTCAGGATGGCCATGGAAAGGACCATGGGCTGGCCCACACTAGAGGCTACTGCTAGAGCTGTGTGTGAGAAAGAGAACCCAAGACCTTGGTCACATACCCCTGGCATGCATGCCACTAACCAGAAACCCCAATTCCATAGCCTTCCCTGGATGCTCCCAATAAGGCATGGTCGTGGTTGCTAACCCTCTGGGAGGAAGGCCACAACTCCATGACTCCCCACTACCCCATAGGGACCGGTTGTAGGCCCCACCCTCTTCCCCTACCCAGAAGGGGCTGGAGGGAAGCTTTAAAATCCCATTCAGACCTCACCTCTCTGGGAATTGAATCCTCATCACACCCAGAATACAATCAAAACCCCAGATCAGGCCCATCTCAACTGCCCTTCCTGTTCACAGGGATCTTGTCAACCAGCTGCTTTGGGTCACTTGCACCTGCTATGCCCTGGGCCTGATTGTCCCCACTGCACCCCAGGCCTGCTCTGCTAACCTCCTCTGACATGCTCCCTAAACAGCCTCCCCACCCCCACTCCAGCACCAGGCCAGCTTGTCTGCTCTACCTCAAAGGCATGGAGGCACAGAAAGCACCCACTGGGCTTCTATCTGTGTCGCCCACCAGAAAGCAGGCTCTTTGGATGCAGAAGACATTGCCTTGGTCACTGTTTTATGCCCAACACTCAACACAGTGACCAGCACCCAGTAGGTTCTCAATAAATATCTGCTGAATAAAGGAATGAGTGGTCTCATTTCCTCTTTCCAAAAACTCTGAGAGATATAAGTATGGCAACCATTTTACAGATAAGAGAATTGAGGCTCAGAGGGTGAGTCACTGGCCCAAGGGAACACAGTCTGTGAGTGGCAGAGCTGGATCTGAATCTTGCAAGGTGCCAAAGCAGGGACCTCCCTGTACCCACTGCCCCTGCTCTGGCCCCATAGGGTCTGGATCTGTCCCAAGTTTCCTGGTCAGCAGAATGTGGAAACAAGCTCCCGACAGAATGGTAAGCCCTACAGTGCCCACCCCAGGAAGAGCCAGTGGTCTAATCACCAAAGGAAACACACCCACAGGAAAAGGGGGAGGAGAGAAAGGGTGGGTTTTTTGTTGTTGGTTTTTTGTTTGGTTTTTTTTTTTGACCATTTGCCAAACCCTGCAAAAGTGACTTTGTTACCATCTCATTTTAATCAAGTGGAAACTTTTGTATACCAAGGCAGGAAGAAGTCAGTGTGCTCCACCACAAGATCATAAAGCAGGGGATTTAAAAACCATCCTTAAACACTTAGTTCATTTGGTTAGAGTCTCATCTCCATACACCAAGGTTGCAGGTTTGATCCCTGGTCAAGGCGCATATGGAAATCAACCAATGAATGCATAAATAAGTGGAACAACAAATCCATGTTTCTCTCTCAAATCTATTTTTTTTTTAACTCACAAATGAACAGTCACCCACCAACTGCCCAGTTGCTTTTGAATCTGATGTAATGTTTTGAACAGGCAATGCAATCACATAGTTCAAAAACTAGAAAATATAAAAGATACAGTGGGAAATGTCATCTCACCTTTGTCCCCCACCTGCCCCACATCCCCAGGTAACCATAGATAACCACAACATGCTCCTGCTGTCTCCTCCAACTTTGTTTTGTACATCCAAGCAAATCTGTACTTATATATCTTATTTTACACAAGAAGTACCATGCTTTATACACCATTCAGTACCTTGTTGACGTGTAACAGTCACGTGTGTAGCAGATATGAATGCGTTAGAGAGACACGCGCATTTAACAGAAACACAGCTGATTGATAAGGAGGCAGGTATGTCTGAGAGAAGCCCGTGTGTAAGGCACGCATGTATGAAACATGTGTGCACAAAAGGGCAGGGTGGGAGAGATGAGTGTGAGGAGCCCAAACATATGTGAGGGCGATTTGGGGCAGGGGTGGGTCCTGAGCATTGGACTAAGAGCCCAGTAGAATGGTGTGACAGAGATGGCGGTGGGTGCGCCCCATGCAGGGGGCTTCTACTGGCCACTAGTGTGAGTGCGTCTGGCAGTGTGACTGGGAGGGGGAGGGGGAATGGAGGATGTGTGAAGGCGGGGTGTGCCTGACCTCGGGTTCCAGTCATCCCCTCGGGACGGCAAGGTGGGGGTGGGGAGCGGGCCTCGCGACCAGGGGGACAGTGGAGGAGCAGTGGGGTCGGGAGGGGAAGGGGGGGTATAACCGGCGGGACGCTGCACCGGAGGGCGGCGGGACCTGGCGGGTGGGGACCCTGCCGCCGAGCCCTAAAGCCCACTACAAAGTGCCCGCATCCCTCCAATGGGCCCCGCGCGCTGCGTGCGGCGCCGTCTCCCCCGCTGGGACCGGGACGCAGAGAGCTCGGCTGTGGGGCCGCCGAGCCGTCGGGGCGTCCGAGCGCTCAGAGCATCGAGCGGCGGCTGGCGAGGGCGCCGAGACGCCAAGGCCGAGGGAGGCCCGGGCGGGGTCCGTGTGCACTCACCGGGGGGCGCTACGCACGTCTGTCGGTCGGTGTGTCTGTCCGCCGGGCCGTCGGCGCGTCCAGAGCTCGGCGCGAGGCGGGGCGGAGGCTCGGAGGGGCGGGCCGGAGCCGGCTCTTGGGGGGGGGGGGGGGGAGGCTGCTCCGCCTCCGGGGCGGGGTCTCCACCGGGCTGGGGTGGTGGGTGGGCAGCCTAGTCTGCTCCCTCCAGGCCGAGGTGTGCAAGCCGAGGCCCAGAGATGGCTGGGCTGCGCGTTCGCCAAGCACCTCGACCCCTTACCTGCACCCCCTTCCCCCGCCTAGTCTAAACTCTGAGTTCCAGATTTCGCACTGTTGCCTTCATCGGGGGGACTTTGTTCCAGCCACCTCTGCGAGCGTGACCCTCAGTGTCCCCACATGGAAGATGGGCTCAGAAACTCTGGGCGGCTGGGAGGACCTGAAGGGCCTCGGTAAAACACTGCAAAGAGGCAGGCCAGCTTGGCCCCAGCCTCCACTGGCCTGCTGGCACTTAAAACCGCGACTACAGGTCCTTAGCCACATGGTTTCCAGCCCCCAGCTTTGAGACTAAGTTTGTCAATTTTCTCAGCCCACACAGCTGCCTGTGACCTCAACCACTGCCTAGACCTCTCTGAACCCAGCCTCCTCGTCTCTTGAAAGGGTTAACCCCTGGCTGTTGATGGGGAGACATAGAGAGCCCCTTGTCATGCCCTCAGCAAGGGCCCACCCAACAGCTTGTGAACAGCCTGCAAGTTGTAGCTCAAAACATGAATTACTGTGACTCAACTCCTACCCAGGGTTGGCATCCCATGGTCTGGTACCCACTCACCCTGTTTGGCAGACTAGGTGCCTGTACCTGCTAAGAGGCCCTGTGGGGAGCGGGCAGTTGGCAAGGGACTACCTCCCAGGCCCTTTCCCCTAACCAGGGGCTCAAAACCCTACCCCAAAACCTACACAAGCAAAATCCAGTACTGCCAGAGCAAACACTGTCCCCAGAGCAGCCCAGTGGGCCCTGCAGGCCTGCACAGAGCCCCCTCCTCTCAATCAACTTAAGAGTCCCAGAGTCAGACCCAAAAAGAGTCAGGACCCTGGAATTCTGTTCTTCCATCCATCTGTCACTCTCTGTTTGCCTTCTTCTGTCTTTGTCTATTTATTGTAGTGAAATTCACATAGGGTTAGCAGGCAGCCTGGGGTGATAGAAGACACCTGTGTCACTCACCCGGGCAACTCACTATCCTCTGATATGGTTCCCTTCCCTAAAGCAGGTTCCTGAAGCCTAGAGGAGAGATAATAAATGGAGATTTGGCCTCACAGCAGCCTGCTGAGCCCAAAGCCAAGACAGCTTTCCAGGAGATAAAGTGGAGACATGTTGCCAGTCTTCTGTTATCTGAGCCGGAGACGCAGGCAAGGCAGCCATGCCCTGGGAGCCCTGCCAGGGCTGTTATCACAGACACGGTGCACATCACCCACCAGGAATTTGGGGCCCGGATCTGGCTGAGATGCAGTTGGAGGAAGTTCCAGGCTGATAAAGTCTGAGTCAGAATGCTCAGAGTGGGCAGCAAAGTTATTCACATCAGTGACACTCTCACCAGCCCCTGGGCATCATGGCACCAGGGCTGGCAGGTATGGGGCTCACCTCACCACCTGGCAACCCAGATGGGGAGGAGAAGGCTCACTGGGCTTCTTGGGTCTGCATCCTTGCCGAGTAGCCTTGGGGAGGTCACTGCACCTCCCCTGGCATCTGAGAAATGAGAATAACAATAATAATCACCCCATATAACAATAACATGGGGTTTAGAAGGAGGGACTCTGTAGCCAGGTGGCTTTGGTTTAAAGCCACATCCCCCTGGGTGACATTGAGCCTTAGTGGCCTCCTCTATAAAATAGTTTCTGCCTCATAGGATTGTTTTGAAGATGTTTAGAGCAGAGTCTGGCACATGATAAGCCCTGGATTAAATGTGTATTGTTGTTGTTGTTATTGTTGTTGTTTTTTCTTCACCCAGATTAAACCAACTTGAGTCAGCAACAGCACCCAAAATCTCCCTGCACACCTGGGTGCAGACAGCATGGGGGCTGCCCTCTCCTTGAATGGTGGTCCCGGACTCCCCACCAGAACTTCCCCTGCTCTGCCTCTGAGGGCTGATATGGCTCCCTCCCTCCAGGAGCGGACTCTGCACTGGGCCTGCTTCCTCCTAGCGCTTGCCTCCCATTGAGCATCTGTTGCAGGCACACTGGCTGGACGGAAGGGGCAGCTGTCTCTCCTGGCCTGCAAAGGACCCTAGGAAATAAGTGGGCCCAGCAAAACTCCAGAATATTCCACAGTCTGGGAAAGATATTTCAAAATGATGGGCAGTGATTTGCAGACAGAGGTGGGGCACCAGCTGCCATCCTGCTCCTCAACAAACCCTGGCAGCACCGCCCAGACCCAGGCTTTAGAACGTGGCCATCCTTGGAATCATCTGGGACCTTTTTTGGAAACATCAACATCTACACTCGACTCCAGAACCATTAAACCTGAGTCTCCAGAGGGGTGCAGCTGGGCATGAATGGCTTCTGGCGTCCCCATTGACTATAAGGTGCTACCAAGTTTGGAAGCACCTTATTCAAACCTCCCTCTGTCCTCCTCGCGTCCTCCCCAAGGAGTGAAGGGTCTGTGAAAACAAGGGCATGTGCCCACCTGGACTCATGATGCCTCATTCCAGTTCCTGAAATTCCCTACAGTGGAAGGAAAAGGGCTCTAATAAATCTAGCAAGTTCAGTGTCTGAAAGTAACTCACAGGGTGATCTGATCATAAATTCCCAATTGGACAGGTCATGGGGAGTAGGCCTATACCTTCTTTAGTAACTGGCTTATCTTTTCCTTAAGCAAGCCTTGTCCATTGTTTCTGTGCATCTAGGTTAACATTCCTTTGCAATGCCTCTTTTTCAGACCCCTCAGAAGCATAACCTCCGTCAAGATAGCACATGAACTACCAAGCAAAATGCAGATGGACTCGTAGATAGAGAGCAGGCAGACAACTCTGGAGGGGAAGTGGGTTGGGCGGTGGGCATGGAGGGATTGAGCAAAAAGAAAAAAGAAAAAAAAGAGAATTCATGGATGTGGACAACAGTGTGGTGATTGTGGGGGAGGAGGGTAGAGGTAGAAGAGGGTATAGGAGGGATAAATGGTGATGGAAAAATAAAATAAAGCACATCATCTTGTTAACTACTCTGCAACTCAGTCCCCACCTTGCTTTTTCTCACTTCCATGTAGTCTTCCTTAGTTCCCTCGTAAATCCCAAATGCATAAAAGAAACTACAAACTCTCATCGTGGGGAGTATTTGAGATCCTGCTCTCCAGCATATGTTGTCAGTTATAAAAATTCTCTACATGTTTGGACGTCACTTATGTTTCTTACATTGACACTGCTCAAACTGCCCTGAGCCCAGGGTCTATGTGGACCTCTTCCCTGTCCCTCCCCTCAGGAGTAGGCGGCACCACTGTGGACACACCCCAGGCCTGAGGGGTGGCCAAAGGCAGCTGATGGCTAGTGGTGTGAATGGAGCTCAGACATGTGGGCACCCAGTCAGTCCTTGGAAACTAGGTCTGGCCCTTGCTGGTCTGAACACCACTCACCTCTCCAGCCTCTTTATCCACACACACTTCTGTCCTTAACCCCCAGCATCCTACTCTTCAACCCAAAAAGAAGCTGATTATACACCAGGAACTTCCCCACCTCCCTGCCTTTCCACCCACCATGGATGCTGTTCCACTTAGGGCAGAAACTACTTACCTCCCACAATTCATGTCAGAAACGTAACTATAGGAACTGTGCACAGATCCAGGACTGTCCAGCTGAGACTACATTTCCAGTCTCCCTGGAAGCCATTGAACAGGAGCAGAAGTGATGTAGCCTGCCCCTTCCCACTGGCTAAAGCGAGGACCTGGTTGTGGACCCGGAGCTTGAGTAGCCACCTAGTAGACTCCTGGGTGGAAGGATTCCCTGAGCCTCATGAAGCCATCATACCTCTCCTGGACCTTCACATGAAAGAGAAATAAGCTTTCAAATATGCCGAGCCATTGTCTTTTAGGGCCTCTTTGATATAGCAGCTTAAATTATACCTATTAACCTCCATCCCCCACTTCAGTTAGCTATCCGCCCACTTCATTTAGCTATCTCAAAAGTCCTACTAAGCAGTTGTAGCACACATCTTGCACCCATCAGCACAAGAGCTCGGGTTCAGAACCCTCGGGAAGACTGGTGCAGTCTGCACCTGTGGCTTCCACACATCCGAGTCCCCTGCTGCAGCTACCAGCCTGAGTCTCCTCTGCAGAGCCCTCTTCTCTCCCTTCTGGATCTATGTGGTTCCTTCAATGGAGCTTATCCTGCCCCTCCTCCTGGGTGTGGCCTGCTAGAGTATTCCAGGGAAGGGCTTGTGACTCAAGAGAGGGGACCTCTTTATTTAAGGCCCACTGTAGGTATGAGCCTGTGGCTTACAGGCTACCTCCTAGGGCAGGGGTGGGCAACCCCTGGCACGCGTGCCAAACATGGCACGCCAGTAACTTTTGCTGGCACTCGAAACCCTCTCTTATAATCTTCCATTTACAATTTTTTTCTTAATATCGACTTTTTTATTTTTCAGATAAATTCAGTGTAGGTGCATCTTAGATAAATAAATAATTTTACATAACAAGTTATCTTAAAGACCATAGACATGGATTGACGAGAGAGGGGAAGAGCAATTTCTATGCCTCTGCCTTAACTCTCCCTGCCTTCCTAGATCCGACCAGTGTTTTGGTTTCATCCACATACGCTTGTGAATCTTTGTTCTCAGTGATGAATTTTGTTAAGTCTCATAATAGGAGTAGCCTGATGGATGAAAGTAGTAGCTCATGCATATCTCTGAAGGTCACAAAATATAAACCTGATGTAAAATCTCTATCATCAGTGATGCAGCAGCAAAAGTCCCACTGATAATATCAAACGGAGTCATAAAGTTTTCTGTCGGACTATCAGTGTACATGTATACATTAAAAAATAAATGTATTTTTCATCATCATATACTGTGTTTTTGTCTATCGAATGAATTTTATTATTTCTTCAAGGTTCTTCACATACGTACACCTTAAGAGATATCAAGTAAGCATAACATGTTCTCAAAAAATTAGGGTTGGCACGCAGAAGAATTTTGAGTCAGAGATTTTGCTGGTTTTGGCACGCACTCACAAAAAGGTTGACCACCCCTGTCCTAGGGAAACCTGCAGAGAATGAAGCCAGTTCAAAGGAAAGCAGAGCTGAGAGGAAGAGGAGGGGGAGGGGCGGGGGAGGGAAGGAGAGGGGAAGGAGGAGGGGCGAGATGGAAGGAGAGCTTTTTGATGACCTAACATTTAAGCACCTGATTATAGCTTGGCTGGAACCCCACCCCTAGATTTTTCAGTTACTTGGGCCAATAAATTCTCTACAGGTTTGGAGTTTTATTATTCACACCCGAGAGTCTTTGCTAATTTGTTTCATTGATGCAACATTACCTACCAAATCTGGAGCCTGCACTTCCCAGGCCCTCTTTGGACACAGGTGCGTTATCAAGGATCAGCGCTTATGATGCCCAGACTCTCCCAAGAGTGTCTTGCCTTAAATAAATGGGACAATGATTGGAATGAAAAATAAACTCCTGTTTGTTAATGCCCAGCATTTTAATAGACACCCTACATTGATTAATCCATTTAATTCTAAAAACAATCCTAGAGGTGCTAGATATTATTACTCCACTTCACAGACAAAGAAACTGAGGTTCAGTGACATAGAGGGCCCCAGGCCAGAGCAGTGTGACTGCAGAGTCTCCACGTTTTTCCCTGCCCTTGCAGAGGAAGGAATGGAGAACACTGTAGGAGGCAGCGGGTTTATCATGCCCAGGGTTTGTAAACAGGGACTGGGTGACCCCCTGGCAGATGGAATGGGGTGTGTGGAGAGAGGGGATAGGGAGAAACATTATAATTTTTTTCTCACTGGGGTTTCTCTACACTTTCCCAAACTGTCTGCTTATTCCTGGAGAGCTGCCCGGGCTGATGCCTCCCATCTGGGAATGATTAGCTCCTACCTCCTATGGCCCAGCACATTCATGACTCACCCCCAGCCCAACCCTCGCCTGGTGTGATGAAATTTCTGGCGCTTCAGAAAAGTTCTGGTCACCCTGGACAAGACTGGTCCCAGCCTTGCTGTTCAGTCCAGCTTTCCTGGCTTGTGGGGGGCGGGGGGGCTGAGGGGTCCAGGGGTGCTGAGCTCAGGGGCTGGAACCTCACTAGAGGGCTGGAAAACTAGGCTGAAGGTTCTCAGAGACTGTTCCCTACTGGAGTAGCCCAGAGAGGGAAGGGATTAGCCTATGGCCACACAGTGAAACCCCAAGGAGCTGAAAGGGGCCCCAGGAGAGCAAAGGTAGCCCAGAGACAGGAAGCCTGGTCCCAGAAAGCCTCTTGCCCATTCTGAGCCTCAATTTTCCCATCTGTGAAATGGGAGGGGCAAACACTAATTTTATTTAATTGATTTATTTTTAAATCTTCACCTGAGGATATTTTCCCATTGATTTTTAGAGAGAGTGGAAGGGAGGTGGAGAGACAGGAGAGAAACATCGATATGAGACGTGTCAATTGGCTTCCTCCTGCATGCGCCCGGACTGGGACAGGGATCGAGCCTGCAACTGAGGCACATGCCTTTGACCCTTCAGTCCTCAGCCGACACTCTATCCACTGAGCCAAATTGGCCAGGGCTGACTCTGATTTTAATAAGTAAATCAGGAAATACAGTTAGGGGTGACCAGGCCAGCAGGGGAGGGCAGATTGGGGGACCAAACCTGCAGGAGAGGGCAGTTGGGGGCAATTGGGCTGGCAGGGGAGCAGTTAGGCGTCAATCAGGCTGGTAGGGGAGTGATTCGGGGGTGATCAGCCTGGCAGGCAGAAGTGGTTAGGGGCAATCAGGCAGGCAGGCAGGCGAGCGGTTGGGAGCCAGCAGTCCCAGATTGTGAGAGCCAGCAGTCCCAGATTGTGAGAGGTATGTCCAACTGCCGGGGGTCGGACATCCCTGAGAGGTCCCAGATTGGAGAGGGTGCAGGCTGGGCTGAAGGACACCCCCATGCACGAATTTTGTGCACCGGGCCTCTAGTCTATATATATAAAAGCCTAAGCGAGCGTTATGGTGGAATGACTGGAACAACTGGTTGCTATGATACACACTGACCACCAGGGGACAGACAATCCATGCAGGAGCTGCCCCCTGGTGGTCAGTGCACTTCCACAGGGGGAGCGCTGCTCAGCCAGAAGCCAGGCTTATGCTGGTGAGTGCAGCTGCCACGGCATTAGGAGCCTCTCCTTACACGGTGGCAGCACTACCGAGCAGCGGCAGCAGGTGCAGCAGGCCAGGATGAGTGAGAGGGGCACGGCGCCTGGCCCTGATTCGGGCTCCTTCCTGGCCTCCTGCCACTTGGTGCACTGCTACATCCCCCGAGGGGTCCCGGACTGAGAGAGGGATGTTCGACTGCCGGCTTAGGCCCGATCCCAGTGCGTTCTCTGTAGAAGGCAGTCAGTCTGAATAACTCAGGGACTCAGGGAAGCACCGGGAACTCAGAGTGAGCCTGCCTCCGTGCTTGACTCACCCACTCGATGGTGTTTGCAGGACCGACCGTGGTGGTCCAGCCTGTGCATGTGCAATAGCTGCTGAAGCTCAAGCAGCAGGCCGTGCAGCAGCAGAAGGCCATTCAGCCACAAGCCAGCAGGTGGACATCACCCGAGGTGTCCCAGACTGCGAGAGGGCATAGGCTGGGCTGAGGGATCCTCCTCCCCAGTGCACGAATTTTGTGCACCAGGCCTCTAGTAAATGCATAAATAAGTGGAACAACAAATCTCTCTCCCTCTCTCTCTTTGTCTCTCTCTCTCCCCTTACCCTCCTTCCTCTCTCTCTCTAAAATCAATAATTTTTTTAAAAAAGCATGGGGAGGGTATCTTTCACACATATTGGCCACACCACCAAGTACACCAGGCACCATCAGCCTTCCTAGTTGAGGTCAACCTGTTAGGTGAAGATGGTGTCCATTATTTGAAGTTGAATGTCTCTTTAAATGTTGATTAGACATATGTGTTTCTCCTGAGAACTCAGTGTGCATGATCTTCATTCATTTTTACTAGTGAGGTATTCATCTTTCTTTAATAAGTTTAAGAAATTCTTTGTATAGTAGAAGTGCTGGCTTTTTGTCTGCTAAATACATGCTGCAGTCGCCATAAGAAGCATCCAAACCTTCAGATGCCTCTGTTTTAACTTTGGTTTTGTATTTATTTACATATAGAACTTATAAAATTTGATGTAGAAAAACTTACCAGTATTTATTTTTGTGCTTAGATTCTTCCCCATTCTAAGATAGACTTAGTAACCTACATATATATTTTTCCAGTTCCTTTTTTATTCATTCACTCATCCATCCTTCATTTATTATTGCCTTTGAATCCAATCCCAAGGCCTCTGGCTACCCCATCCCACATAGCTGGTGGTTGAGTCCTGTATGTGGCAGGCTTTTACAGTAATTTCTGGAAGCTTACCCTTCTAGGAAAGTGGGGGGAGAATGGGCAGGTACACATCTCTGTTTAAATAACAAACATTGGCTTCTAAGGCTCCAAATAGTCTCCAGGTATGAGTCAAGGTTCTTCCCAGCCAGTCCTTTAGCATTGAGAATTTTAGGATAATACTGATTCCAGTGGCATGAGAATGCATCGCTCAGATCTGCTCCAAGCAGCGTGGGTGATTGTCCTCCCCTCTAGATCTGCCACCTTAAGCTCGGTGTCCCACACAACCTGGCACTCCCCATCAAGAACAGAGCACAGTGGTTGCTGTCACCATAACAAGCATCCAAACCTGCAGAGAATTCTTATGAGTTTACTAGTGGCCCAGTGCACAAAATTCATGCACATTACAAGGGATTAATTAGAGGAAATATTTTAATATTGCTATTTGCCCTTTCTCAATAATAGAAGTGTCAGATATGAAAGAAAATTAGTAAAATGTATATGAAAATCTTCCTCTTGTCAGAGGCTGGGGCATGCTGCAGGACCCAGAGTCAAGTCCTCGCACACCCACGGTGCCTCAAAATCATGCGAGACCCAGACCCAGCCAGCCCCACCCTTGTCAAGCCCTTCCAGGCAGGGGGCACAGCCTCAGGTAACCCATCAAGCCCCGCTGGGGCAGGGGGCGTGGCCTCAGGTCCCCCGGGCCGGGATGGGGGGTGTGCCTTGAGGTCTTCTGTCATGCCCTGCATGGCAGGGGGTGCAGCCTCAAGTCGTCTGGCCT